AGCAATTAGCGATGTCTTACAAGGTAAAGTCCCTAGTTCCAATCACTCCTTTTTGATAGTTTTTGAGATAAACAATATGTTCACGGTTCAAAGCATCCGACTCTTTCTTCACTCGGTTGCTCCTTGATTTTCAAAAATGCTCAAATGATTTGTTTTTATCACAGATAAGTAGAAAATATCGTCGCACCTATGTTGACTCATAAATCACCCAACGATCTGAACATGTGGAAGCCAGCGTGAACATCACTGTAAAGTGACGTCAAATGTGGCGCGAGTGCAAGGAGATTCAAAAATCTGGGTCGTCTTGAAGGCGTGGTCGAGCGTGAATTGTTTTTAAATGCAAACATCTAATCTCATCCGTGTGTAGAGTTTGAGCATATACTGTTTTTTCTTTCGAAAAGTTATGTAAGACATCTGTAAACCTGCCTTCTTCATCTTTTTTTTAAGGGGGATAGTTTCAAAAAGAGAAGTTTTGTCAGTTATACTCCAGTGATAATTCCATTCTTGTCCGATCTTAAATGGTTTGAATTCTCAGTCACGGTAATTTTTGCAATCTTTTGCTTTATTGTCTTACTATAGTGCCCACTATTTTTGCAATTTCGCTTTCGCTGACTTGCTATAGCAAAATTGAAAAAAAAGTGAGCAGTGATAGGTGTTCGCTATTTCTGTATTATATCAGTCTTTATGAACTTACGACTGTCTCCAGCTTTGATGACATTATCAGCCGCCTTCCTGGCCTATGTTGTTATAGGATTGATAAGGGTTTTGCGCTAATCGCTTTTGAACTTGCAATCTTTTCCTTCCCCTTAATCATGATTCAAAAATAAGCAGCTTCAGAAAGTTTATATACTATCATCCATTCTAGGAGCAATATTGAAGGAGATTCTCATTTTCTCCTATATCTTGTTCCAGGAGAATGTCCAAAGAACATCGAATCAGGAAAAAAATCATCGTATCACTTGGATCTACTATTCAAAGGAAAGAATGGCCAGATAGTTTACTGGATGTTGGAATAAGAATTAAAACGTTTTCATCGAGGACCAAATACTTAGTGGCAGCTAGTGTAACGGATTCATATTATAGGGTAAGTATCATCTTGTCACCTTTTTCGCGTTCATTTTCTTTCAAGAGCGTATCGTGAAATTTTTATATTGATATTGTGTTAAGCCTAAACTTGTCTAGATTGTCTACATAGGTCTTTATGGTTCTTGGCAGGCCATGGGTTTTTTCCAAGCATATCATGGAAATTAATGAATCATTGTTGATTTTTAATAATCTCTAAAGTCTTTTGTGAGAAATTTTTTTCTTGAGCACATGAAGGAAATCTGACTCAACTTGTAAGTGACAAGCTTTGATCAGAATAAGTGAACACAGATTTTAGAATTTATTTGGTTAAGTCTCTAAGAATTGATATGTAATACACGCTATAAATGTATGTGAAAGATCTGTAGTGAGCGTATATGCAAAAGTTAAGTACATAATGAAAAAACCGGGGAATGCCCATTTTGCATTGCCCATTACGTAGTAGCTTAACTTATTTAATTTTACCTTTTTAAATTCTCAACAACTGGATTAGAAAGTAAATTTTAAAAAAATCAGT